TGATGGGAGGGTGGTTGTTGTTATTGCTCCTGTTTTTGGCCATTTCTTTAATAGGGATACATGGAATACAGGGTGTAATTTTGATGTTGCTGGGAGGTCCAGCCTGTATRCCACTGATCCGATGCGCTCCACAATCCGAAATGGGCCGAAGTACCTCGGGCTCAGTTTGTTCCACCGGTGGCCAGATACTGAAACATGCTTGTATGGTTGCAATTTAAGGAAGATTTGATCCCCGACTTGGTGTTGGGCAGGCCTATGTCTTTTGTTGTAGGAGTCTTCCATCCATTGTTGGGCTCACTGGAGGTGGGATTTGAGATCTTGTAACACCCTATCTCGTTGGAGGAGTTGGTCTTCTACTGCGGCTACTACTGTAGACCCCTTCTCAAAGGGAAGTAGGGGAGGTGGGTCCCAACCATATAGGGAAGTAGGGGAGTTGGTCTTCTACTCTGGCTGCTCTGTGATATGTGATATTGTACCACCATTCTTCCCAATGAAGCCACTTGAGCCACTGGCAGGGCCTTTCCCCTGCATAGCACCTTAGGTTGGTTTCCAAACTCCGGTTGACCACTTCAGTCTGTCCATCTGTTTGAGGGTGGTAGATGGTAGATTTTAAGAATTGCACTCCTTGTAGTCGAAAAAGTTCTGCCCAGAATTAACTCATAAAGATAGGGTCGCGGTTGGAGACAATAGAGTTGGGGGTACCATGCAGTCGTGCCACCTCCTTAGTAAAAATTTCAACAACCATGGAGGCTGTGAAGGGGTGGGGCAGAGAGAGAAAATGGTCGTATTTGGTGAATCTATCAACTGCTACGAGAATGGCGGACTTACCATAGGAAAGGGGGAGTCCCGTTATAAAGTCCATGGATATATCTGCCCATACTTGTGTCGGGATTGGGAGTGGTTGTAGCAATCCCACTGGAGATTGGGTATCCGCCTTATTTTTCTAGCAAATGGCGCATTCGGCTATGAATTTTTGGACCGAATTTCTCATGCCTTTCCAATGGAATTGGGTGGCTAATCTCTTGTAAGTGCGTAGGATCCCTGAGTGCCTTCCTACTGGGGATGAGTGGAACAATTCCATGAGCTGTTGAATATGAGCTGAATCTTGTGGTATCACCATTCGGCGTTTATATAGTAGCAAGTTGTTTTCCACTATGTACCCTAGGGGGCTAGTAGGGTCTTCTTGGATCTCTGCGCGCAACTTGCACAGTTGTGGGTGCCTTTCAGCTTCCTCCCTTGGCTATCCCATGATGGAACATGTAGGGCCCATGAGAAGTAATGGGAACAGTTGTGGCTGGCGTGACAATGCATCTGCAACCTTGTTAGCGTGCCCAGCCTTGTATTTAATGACATAATCATAGCCAAGTAATTTGACTATCCATCATTGCTGTTCCGAGGAGAGTACGGACTGTTCCAATAGAAATTTCAGGCTCTGGTGGTCAGTTCGAATGATGAATCTCCTTCCCAGGAGGTAGGGACACCATCTCTGAACTGCAAGAACAATTGCTATCAATTCGCGTTCATATACTGATTTGGCCCATTTTTGAGCGGTCATTGCCTTGCTTAAAAATGCTAATGGTCTTTCTTCTTGCAAGAGGACTGCACCCACTCCTTGGCTTGATGCATCACATTCAATGATGAAGTCCTTTGAGAAGTCGGGAAGTGCAAGCGTTGGCGGGGAGGAGACAGTTGTCTTGAGTGTCTCGAAGGCCTGTTGGGCCTCCTTAGT